CAAAACAACATGGTCCTCGAATTCATCACAATATACCCAAGCGTTTGAGAGGAGAAGGTGATCATTTCATAATACAGCTTCCTTCAACTCAAAAGAAATTTGCTCAGAAGAGGTGCATTGTCTGTGCACAAACAAAACGACGGCAACAAAGACGCAAAGACACTCGGTTTATGTGTGAGGAATGTAAGGTGCCTCTGTGCATGGTGCCTTGTTTCAAGGAGTTCCACAAGCTCCAGCAGTTCTAAAACCATGTCCAGTGATTGTAAATATGTAAATATATGATAGAACATTAGTATTATACAATATTTGTGCATGTTTATTGTAATAAACAACAGTGGTAAACGATAATATGATAATAACTTTAGTGCGGTTATTGTGTTCAATACAGTGAGTATATATATATCAGTTATATACAGTATTGGTCTCTCAGGCCCCAAATGTTAGTAGGAATAGAAAAAAATTGGAAAAGAAAAGAAAAAACAACAAAATAATATAATACGCGTATGTGGAATTCGTCGATGTTGCCGCCACCACATCATTTTCTACAAACTTCTTGGCACTGTATCTCGGTAAGTACTGATCAGATTCTAATTTTTTTTGTTTTATTAACTTCACAAAAATATGCTCTTTAATTCTGTAAGAATTTTTTTTTTTTTTTTTTTTTTTTTTTTTTCCCAAAATTTCTTGGACACTGGTGCGTGACTTCAGATTTTGGCCTTGGACCCTGAAAGGGTTAATACGTCGCCATCACTGGCTCGTAGACGTATCTATACGGCACCAACAGTGAAAGGGTTAAATTGTACTTATAGTAGTATAGGGGTGAGGGCACATTTCATGACAGTACAACTCACAAGTACTATCTGGTATGTTGATATCAAGTACAAGAATAATACTAGTATGTACAAGTGTGTGTGTGCATGCATGTGTGTTTGCTTAGTGCTTGTTGTCTCAGTATGACTCGACTTGACTTACACTGGCTGACAACTAGTCCACAAACAATACAACTTTTTAGTCAAAGCAATCAAATAGCCTGCTTGAACAATATGACGAACCATTTGCTAAACAGCAATGAGCAGTAAACAGCGTCAGGAGCAAGGAGACAAAATAATGAACCTAACTAGGGAACTTCAGCAGATCCTCCATAAAAGGCATAAAACTCCCTTAGTACTGAATCTAAGTTCAGCATAACCAAATCCCTGACTACAACAGTGCGTAGATGCCACAAAGTAAGTCAGAAACTTAAGCTTGGGACCAAGGTTGAATCGAGTGTCTCCGCAACACACAACCTCTGCAAAATGTCAAAAATCACTCGAGTCTGAACAATGCCCTGTGAACAGAGTTAAAAGAAGTATGTTTTGGCTCTCCATTGAAATCATACAATATCAAAAACAGAATCTGAATCACGAACAAACAGCCAGAGACGAGATATACTTCTGGGATAAGAAGCGGATATCGAGAGAGGTACCTCTTGGGCAGGAAGCAGATCTAGAGAGTGAGGTAAGGAGGGCAGCTCCAACCTCAGGGGCAATCACATGACTAGTCAGTGCTACTCTGGCAGGTTCCACCTGACACCAACAATTAAAACTAGCAAGCTGGAAGTTAGCAAGGCAGTTGGGAAGATTTTACAGCCAGTCACAACTCTTCAACAGTGAGGACAATGCAGTGTAAATGTAACACCCTACCTCCATTCATAAGCTAATACAGCCTCTTCTCACTTAGCAACACATTCGTTTACCGACTATTCAGACTTGCAACCAGTATGCTATCCTAAATGATGTATATTAGAGCTGATTTCCTCTATTCTGTTTATTACAGTATTCAGTACATTACTGTATAAAAGTTTAAAAATATACCAGAAATGTTATAAATGGTGCAGAGGTGACAGTAAAAATGTATCCAAAGATAAACCATACCACAGGAGGGGTTAAAACAAATGATCAGAGTTTCAAAACTCCAGACCATCACGTTAGCCACTGGGCCAGCTAGCTACAATAAGATTCATCCAACTAGGTATATTTATACACCATAGGAAGGTTAGCATAGGCACCACTTTGACCACAAATGCAACTTTTTACAGACGAATCTCTAGGTAGTGTGGCCCGTGATGAAGTCTAGCTCAAGTTCCCTTAAAGCCGTCAACGTGACTCACAAAATCTTGTGAAATCATATAGTTTGTTTGCAGTCATGTCATTGTGATTTTGTGAATCGTATCTAAAGATTGTTGACAAACCCACTGCCAGTAGAGTATGCTCCTCGCTTGATTACCGTTTCGCATACCAACCTACTCTTAGGCATGGAACTCCGTCGTTAAGTGAGGAGAGGCTGTATAGCAAGTTAGATAATTATATAAAGCAAGATATTTTCATTTTAGCTATTAATGAAAATATCAGCAATATAAAATTACAGTAGATCATTCGTTCCTTGAAACGTAGTGTTAGATAAACTGAAATTGGAAGAAAAATAGGGTTATGTTCCTGGGGAAACACCCCCGCCTTCAAAAAAAATTAGACCTCCAGATCTTGCAGAAATAAAAATGAATATGTAATTGTTATACAGTGGACCCCCGCATAGCGATATTAATCCGTGCAAGAGAGCTCATTGTTATGCAAAATTATCGTTATGCGAATGAATTTTCCCCATAAGAAATAATGGAAATCAAATTAATCCGTGCAAGACACCCAAAAGTATGAAAAAAAAAATTTTACCACATGAAATATACATTTTCCTACACACAAAGAGAAGGATACATGCACAATAATAGAGTAGTACATGCACAGTATATATTGTGCATGTACTACTCTACTAAATGAAGAATAAATGACACTTACCTTTATTGAAGATGCAGCAATGACTGATGAGACACTGTGTCCTGGGAGTGCCTTTTCCTCCTGAGTACTGTAGGTCCTGTTTGGCATTTTCTTCCAGAACAGGCCTTATCACACTGTGTATGCCACTACGATTCTTAAATCTCTCAAACCAACCTTTGCTGGCTTTAAATTCACCAATATGAGCACTAGTTCCAGGCATTTTTCCCTGTTCACCTGGGTGTTAGTCGACTGGTGTGGGTTGCATCCTGGGAGACAAGATTAAGGACCCCAATGGAAATAAGTTAGTCTTCGATGACACTGACTTTTTTGGGTTATCCTGGGTGGCTAATCCTCTGGGGTTAATTGTTTCTTGGTATTCTCAATAAGCCACACCAACAACGGTGCTACAGCAGCAGCAGCTGACAGTGCTACAGCAGCTGCAGACGATGCTACAGCAGCAGCAGACGGTACTACAGCAGCAGCAGCTGACAGTGGTACAGCAGCAGCAGCAGCTGACAGTGCTACAGCAGCAGCAGACGGTACTACAGCAGCAGCAGCTGACGGTGGTACAGCAGCAGCTGACGGTGCTGCAGCAGCAGCTGACGGTGCTACAGCAGCAGCAGTACGGAGACACGCACTCCAATTTCATACTTATCAATGATCTTTTTCTTCATCTCTATAGTAATTCTCACCCTTATTGCTGTAGGGTTGGCACTAGAAGCTTTCTTGGGGCCCATGGTCACTTATTTTGCGGATAAAATCACCAAAAACACTGTAATAATACGAAATGTTCCGATTGTATGCTTGGATGTTACCGCGGAGGCTGGCTGGTAAACAATGCCACCGGCGGAACATGTGAGGGTGGCTCAGGCCGCACATACACGCGTCTCGGACGAACAGCGTTGAGCGGGTTTTTTAGCGGTATGCGAGGCAAAATCTTAGCAATAAAATGTAGCGGTATGCGGATTTAATGTTATGTAAGGCCAACGGTATGCGGGGGTCCACTATACGTTGTTGTGATGTAGTATGGGTATTTTACTGCTTAACCCTTTCAGGGTCAGCAGGCCCTCTCCTAAACTTGTTCTCGTGTGTGTGTGTGTATGTACAGTTGCAACTTTGTTATATGGTTTCAAAGCATGGGTTTTACATGTTGCAGAGGAGGAGGAGGAGGCTGGAGGCAGTGGAGACGTCATTTTTGATAAAAGTGTGTGGTATGAATCTTCAGTAGAAAATTTAGAGCATTCAGATTAGTAGGTGTGGGATTGCTATTGGTATAATTTAGACAGCTCAGGAGGTTCTGTGATTTAGAAAGGATGCAGCAGAATTTGATGACCAAGAGCGTATATAAATTGGATGGAAGGAAGTGAGGGTTGTACCTAAAAAAAGGTTGGAAGGAGAGGGTACAGGATTAAAGTGATTAGAACTTCAGAATACTACTGGTTTGTATGGATGTGTTTGATCTGAGTAAAGACAAGTGGTTTCTTTATCTTGATGTACTGTTGGAGCGAGAGCAAGGTAGCATTTATGACTGTGCTATTAAGGGAAACCAGTTAGCTGGATTTGAGTCCTGAAGGTGGGAAATACAGTGCCTGCACTGTAAGAGATGTGAGGTTGTTGCAATTCAGAGTGTCATTTGAATTGTGGTGTCGGACCTCATCTGGCAAGACAGCTATTGAATGAATGATGAATGTTTCTCTTCATGGATTACCTTACCTTATTCCTAGTATGTTAAAAATTTGCATGTTTGTTTGATTTTGACTACATAATAAACTGTGGGCTTATACCTATTGTGCCATTTTTTCAGCTTTTAAAACTTTTGTAGGGTATTGTAATTAGCCTGTTTCGGTGGACCTCCATAGATGGTGTTTGAACATAATACACTGCATAGTTGATAGATGACTTGTAATCTTTCATTAGAGTGCAGCTTGACAAATCAAAATTTGCCAAATGTATATCCTGTGAAACTCATTTCATTTGAAAACTGATGGTAAACTAAAATAATTAGATATTCAGAAAATATAAGTAAAAGTAGTACTGAAAGCTTAAAAAAAAAAATGCTTTCTGTTAGAAATAAATCCATTAAGAATCTGTTATATTTAGGAACAAAGAATATTTCATATACATACTAAATGATGCTACTAGTTGAATTTGTTTTAACTTGCCATTTTGTGAAGTGCCATTATTTTTTTTTAGGTACAGTATCTTCAGGACAAGCTAGAGGAGGCTGTGGGAGGAAGAGGATTAACAGCGCTGCACCTTCCACACACAAACGTAGCCAAGGGAGACACCACAGTATCATCATTGGAGATTTCCCGCAAACTTTCAGAAACCTTACAAGCCTTGGAGGAGTCGATGGTAGTACCCTGTTCACAAAGTGGAGAATTAGTTAGCTGTTTAGATGAACCCATCTTATCATCACTAGAAGTAAATGCCATCAAGCAACAGTTAATAGGGCTTCAGAATTTGTTTATGGCACAAGAGAACTCTTACTTGCATCATCAGCAGGAGCTTTATGATTTGTGTGAGAAGACATCCTATGAGTATTTATATTATCCCGAGGTATGAAATATGATGTAACCCTTAAACTGTCCAAACGTAGATATACGTTGACATGCGACAGGCTCCGAACGTAGATCTTTTTTTTTTTCTTTACATGCTTTCAAATGGGGAAAATCAAGGTCAGAGCACTACGCACGTGAGGGTAGTTGTACGTTTGGACAGTTTAAGGGTTAAAGCAGTACAGTGTTTATTTTTTTATAGTGAGAAGGTAAATGTTTGGCCTAAAGTACAAGCTAAATTTAAATATAGTTTCTTTGTAAGAACATTGTATGGAAATATTAATTTGACACTAAATGCATGCCCCCAAATTTTTTATTTTGTGGTAAAATAGCTGATATCCTTGTAATTAATTCTTTGAGGGTCGAGACTCCCTGCTTGCACATATATATATATATATATATATATAATATTTTTTTTTTTTTTTTTTTTTTTTTTTTTTTTTTTTTTTTTTTTCAACAAGTCGGCCGTCTCCCACCGAGGCAGGGTGACCCAAAAAAGAAAGAAAATCCCCAAAAAGAAAATACTTTCATCATCATTCAACACTTTCCCACACTCGCACATTATCACTGTTTTTGCAGAGGTGATCAGAATACAACAGTCTAGAAGCATAACATATAAAGATACACAACATATCCTCCAAACTGCCAATATCCCAAACCCTCCTTTAAAGTGCAGGCATTGTACTTCCCATTTCCAGGACTCAAGTCGACTATATGAAAATAAACCGGTTTCCCTGAATCCCTTCACTAAATATTACCCTGCTCACACTCCAACAGATCGTCAGGTCCCAGTACCATTCGTCTCCATTCACTCCTATCTAACACGCTCACGCACGCTTGCTGGAAGTCCAAGCCCCTTACCCCAAAACTCCTTTACCCCCTCCTCCAACCCTATTCGAGGACGACCCCTACCCCGCCTTCCTTCCCTATAGATTTATAGCTTTCCATGTCATTCTACTGTGATCCATTCTCTCTAAATGACCAAAACCACCTCAACAACCCCTCTTCTGCCCTCTGACTAATACTTTTATTAACTCCACACCTTCTCCTAATTTCCACACTCCGAATTTTCTGCATAATATTTACACACACATTGCCCTTAGACAGGACATCTCCACTGCCTCCAACCGTCTCCTCGCTGCTGCATTTACCACCCAAGCTTCACATCCATATAAGAGTGTTGGTACTACTATACTTTCATACATTCCTTCTTTGCCTCCATAGATAACGTTTTTTGACTCCACATATACCTCAACGCACACTCACCTTTTTTCCTCATCAATTCTATGATTAACCTCATCCTTCATAAATCCATCCGCCGACACGTCAACTCCCAAGTATCTGAAAACATTCACTTCTTCCATACTCCTCCTCCCCAATTTGATATCCAATTTTTCTTTATCTAAATCATTTGACACCCTCATCACCTTACTCTTTTCTATGTTCACTTTCAACTTTCTACCTTTACACACATTCCCAAACTCATCCACTAACCTTTGCAATTTTTCTTTAGAACTCTCCCATAAGCACAGTATCATCAGCAAAAAGTAACTGTGTCAATTCCCATTTTGAATTTGATTCCCCATAATTTAATCCCACCCCTCTCCCAAACACCCTAGCATTTACTTCCTTTACAACCCCATCTATAAATATATTAAACAAACCATGGTGACATACACATCCCTGTCTAAGACCTACTTTTACCGGGAAGTAGTCTCCCTCTCTTCTACACACCCTAACCTGAGCCTCACTATCCTCATAAAAACTCTTTACAGCATTTAATAACTTACCACCTATTCCATATACTTGCATACATCTGCCACATTGCTCCTCTATCCACTCTATCATATGCCTTTTCTAAATCCATAAATGCAATAAAAACTTCCCTATCTTTATCTAAATACTGTTCACATATATGCTTCAATGTAAACACCTGATCTACACATCCCCTACCCACTCTAAAACCTCCTTGCTCATCCGCAATCCTACATTCTGTCTTACCTCTAATTCTTTCAATTATAACCCTACCGTACACTTTTCCTGGTATACTCAGTAAGCTTATTCCTCTATAATTTTTACAGTCTTTTTGTCCCCTTTCCTTTATATAAAGGGACTATACATGCTCTCTGCCAATCCCTAGGTACCTTCCCCTCTTTCATAATTTATTAAACAAAATACCAACCACTCCAACACTATATCCCCCTGCTTTTAACATTTCTGTCATGATCCCATCAGTTCCAGCTGCTTTACCCCCTTTCATTTTACGTAATTTCCTCACGTACCTCCCCACACTTACATTCTGTCTTCTTCATATATATATATTTATATAATATTTATTTTATATATATATAATTATATATATAATATATATATATATATATATTTTATTATATAGGTATAGGTTGGTTTGACGGCAACCACCCAGGGAAGTACTACCGTCCTGCCAGATGATGTGAAACAAAAACCTGTAACTGTTTTGCCCTGATGGTAGGATTGCTGGTTTTTTTTTCTGTCTCATAAACACGCTAGATAACAGGGATATCTTGCTACTCCTACTTACACTTTGGTCACACTTCACAGACACGCACATGCATATATATATATACATACATTAGGGTTTTTTTCCTTATTCTAAATGCTCTTGTTCTTTTTTATTTCTTCTATTGTCCATGGGGAAGTGGAAAAGAATCTTTCCTCCGTAAGCCATGCGTGTCGTATGAGGCGACTAAAATGCCGGGAGCAATGGGGTAGTAACCCCTTCTCCTGTATACATTTACTAAAAAAGAGAAGAAAAAAAACTTTATAAAACTGGGTTGTTTAAATGTGCTGGATGTAGTGCGGATGACAAGAAACAGATGATTGCTGATGTTATGAATGAAAAGAAGTTGGATGTCCTGGCTCTAAGCGAAACAAAGCTGAAGGGGAAAGGAGTTTCAGTGGGGGAATAAATGGGATTAAATCTGGAGTATTGAGAGAGTTAGAGAAAAGGGAAAGGGGGTACAGTAATGTTAAATGATCAGTTTTGGAAGGAGAAAGAGAATATGAATGTGTAAATTCGAGAATTATGTGAATTAAAGTAAAGGTTGGATGCGAGAAGTGGGTCATAATAAGCGTGTATGCACCTGGAGAAGAGAGGAATGCAGAGGAGAGAGAGAGATTTTGGAGATGTTAAGTGAAAGTATAGGAGCCTTTGAACCAAGTGAGAGAGTAATTGTGGTAAGGGGGCCTGAATGCTAAAGTAGGAGAAACTTTTAGAGAGGGTGTGGTAGGTAAGTTTGGGGTGCCAGGTGTAAATGATAATGGGGGCCCTTTTATTGAACTTTGTATAGAAAGGGTTTAGTTATAGGGAATACAATTTTAAGAAAAAAGAGGATAAATAAGTATACACATATGATGTAGGGCGAAATGACAGTAGTTTGTTGGATTATGTATTGGTAGATAAAAGACTGGGTTTAGTAGACTTCAGGATGTTTCATGTTTATCGAGGGGCCACAGATATATCAGATCACTTTCTGTTGTAGCTACACTGAGAGTAAAAGGTAGATGGGATACAAGGAGAATAGAAGCATCCCGGGAAGAGAGAGGTGAAGGTTTATAAACTAAAAGAGGAGGCAGTTAGGGTAAGATATAAACAGCTATTGGAGGATAGATGGGGTAATGAGAGCATAGGCCCAAAGGGGGCGAAGAGGAATGGGGTAGGTTTAAAAATGTAGTGTTAGAGTGTTCAGCAGAAGTTTGTGGTTACAGGAAAGTGGGGTGCAGGAGGCAAGAGGAGTGATTGGTGGAATGATGATGTAAAGAGAGTAGTAAGGGAGAAAAAGTTAGCATATGAGAAGTTTTTACAAGTAGAAGTGATGCAAGGGGGGAAAAGAGTATATGGAGAAAAAGAGAGGGGTTTAAGAGAGTGGTGAAGCAATGTAAAAAGAGAGCAAATGAGAGAGTGGGTGAGCTTTTTATCAACAAATTTTGTTGAAAATAAGAAAAAGTTTTGGAGTGAGATTAACAAGTTAAGGAAGCTAGAGAACAAATGGATTTGTCATTTAAAAAATAGGAGAGGAGAGTTATTAAATGGAGAGTTAGGGGTTATTGGGAAGATGGAGGGAATATTTTGAGGAATTGTTAAATGTTGATGAAGATAGGGAAGCTGTGATTTCGTGTAAGGGCAAGGAGGAATAACATCTTGTAGGAGTGAGGAAGAGCCAGTTGTGAGTGTGGGGGAAGTTCGTGAGGCAGTAGGTAAAAATGAAAGGGGGTAAGGCACCCGGGTTTTGATGGGATAAAGATAGAATGTTAAAAGCAGGTGGGGATATAGTTTTGGAGTGGTTGGTGCAATTGTTTAATGGGTTTGTATGGAAGAGGGTAAGGTACCTAGGATTGGCAGAGAGCATGCATAGTTCCTTTGTATAAAGGAAAAGGGGATAAAAGAGAGTGCAAAAATTATGGGGGGATAAGTCTGTTGAGTGTACCTGGTAAAGTGTATGGTAGAGTTATAATTGAGAGAATTAAGAGTAAGACGGAAAATTTAGGATAGCGATGAACAAGGAGGCTTTAGGAAAGGTAGGGGTGTGTGGACCAAGTGTTTACAGTGAAACATATAAGTGAACAGTATTTAGATAAGGCTAAAGAGGTCTTTGTGGCATTTATGGATTTGGAAAAGGCGTATGACAGGGTGGATAGGGGGCAAGGTGGCAGATGTTGCAAGTGTATGGTTTTGGGGGTAGGTTACTAAAAGCAGTGAAGAGTTTTTACGAGGATAGTGAGGCTCAAGTTAGAGTATGTAGAAAAGAGGGAAATTTTTTCCCAGTAAAAGTAGGCCTTAGACAAGGATGTGTATGTCACCGTGGTTGTTTAATATATTTATAGATGGGTTGTAAGAGAAGAAAAATGCGAGGGTTTTGGCAAGAGGCGTGGAGTTAAAAGATAAAAAATCACACACAGGGGGGGTTGTCAAGCTGCTCTTTGCTGATGACACTGTGCTTGGGAGTTTCTGAAGAGAAGCTGCAGAGATTGGTGGATAAATTTTGGGTTTAGGGTGTGCAAAAGAAAAAAATTAAAGGTAAATTTACAGGAAAGAGTAAGGTTATGAGGATAACAAAAGATTAGGTGATGAAAGTTTGAATATCAGATTGGAGGGAGAGAGTATTGGAGGAGGTGAACGTATTCAGATTTTTGGGGAGTGGACGTGTCAGCGGATGGGTCTATGAAGATGAGGTGAATCATAGAATTGATGGGGAAAAAGAGTGAGTGGTGCACTTAGGAGTCGTGGAGACAGAGAACTTTGTCCTTGGAGGCAAAGAGGGGAATGTATGAGAGTATATTTTACCAACGCTCTTATATGGGTGTGAAGCATGGGTAAAGAATGTTGCAGCGGGAGAAGGCTGGAGGCAGTGGAAAATGTCATGTCTGAGGCAATGTGGGGGTGTAAATTTAAAATGCAGAGAATTCGTAGTTTGGAAGTTAGGAGGAGGTGCGGGATTCCCAAAAACTGTTGTCCAGAGGGCTGAGGAAGGGTTGTTGAGGTGGTTGGGGACATGTAGAGAGAGTGGAGCGAAACAGAATGACTCAAGAGTGTATCAGTCTTTAGTGGAAGGAAGGCGGGGTAGGGGTCGGCCTAGGAAGGGTTGGAGGGAGGGGGTAAAGGAGGTTTTGTGTGCGAGGGGCTTGGACTTCCAGCAGGCATGCGTGAGCGTGTTTGATAGGAGTGAATGGAGACAAATGGTTTTTAATACTTGAGTGCTGTTGGAGTGTGAGCAAAGTAACATTTATGAAGGGATTCAGGGAAACCGGCAGGCCCGGGCTTGAGTCTGGAGATGGGAAGTACAGTGCCTGCACTCTGAAGGAGGGGTTTTTAATGTTGCAGTTTAAAAACTGTAGTGTAAAGCACCCCTTCTGGCAAGACAGTGATGGAGTGAATGATGGTGAAAATTTTTCTTTTTCGGGCCACCCTGCCTTGGTGGGAATCGGCCAGTGTGATAATATAATAAAAATATATTATATTTTATATATATAATATATATAATTAAAATATATATATATAAATATTATATTGGCAGTTTGGAGGGATATGTTGTGTATCTCTATATGTAATGCTTCAAAACTGTTATATTCTGACCCCTCTAAAAAAAGCAGTTGTTGGGTGGTTTGGGTCTTTTTTTTAGAGAGAAGGGATCAAAGAGAATGACATGGAAGCAATAATCATAGGGGAAGGAAGGGGGGTAGGGGTGTCCCAAAAGGGTTGGGAGAGGGGGTAAAGGAGGTTTTGTGGGCAGGGCGGGACTTCACAAGCGGCGTGGTGTGTTAAAAGGAGTGAAGGGAGACAAAGGGGTACTTGGGACCTGACGATCTTTGGGAGTGTGAGCAGGGTAATATTTAGTGAAGGGATTCAGGGAAAACCGGTTATTTTCATATAGTCGGACTTTTCCTGGAAATGGGAAGTACATCCCCTGCCTTTAAAGGAGGGGTTTGGATATTGGCATTTTGGAGGGATATGTTGTTATTTTATGTTATGCTTCTAGACTTTTTGTATTCGAGCACCCCCAAAAAACAGGATAATTGCGAGGTGGTGAATGTTGAATGAGATGAAAATATTTTCTTTTTGGGATTTTCTTTCTTTTTTTGGGTCACCCCGCCCCGGGGGAGACGGCCGATTGTTGAAAAAAAAAAAAAAAAAAATATATTTTTTTATTTATTTATTTATTTTTTTGTGTACTTTTACTGGGGTTTTTTAATTTTTTTCGTTTTTCCAGTATTTTTTTTTTAAAAGCCTTGTACTTAAATTTTACTTTCCAATTCTTTGGGTTCAGTGCTGGATAAATAATCATATTAGGCACATAAATTTTGCATAAAATTTTTAAAAAACCCCGAAAAAGGGCCCAAAACTATATATACGTTTTTTTTCAACATTTGAAAGTATGAAAAAAAAAAAGACTTTCCTTGTTTTTTTTTTTTTTTTTTTTTTACTTTTGAAAATTGTAAAAAAAATTTTGAATCTACTTTTTTTTTATATAATTTTTATATATTTGAATTATGTAAAAAAAAGGGTTGATCTATTTTTTTGGAGCATACACATGTGAACATAGATCCCCTTTGGACCGTTTACAGTTTAATAAGGGTTTGTTATTGGGATTTTCTTTAAATTTTTTTTTTTTTTCCCCCAGATGATAGCTGTTTTTGGGAAGAGAAATCAGTGTATGGAATTTAAAGAGCCCCCTTTTGGGAGACTATTTTAATTCATTCGTGGATCCCAGACCATTGAAAAAACCCCTTATTTTGTAGTCCCAAAAGTGAGGAAATTAAAATTTTAAATTATTTCCCATTGATATGGCGCCGGCAATTCTGGATGACGAGCGCTTTAAAAATATAATGTGAAGCAGGATCTTTCTCTTGCAAAATGAGTTGCATGAACGGGTTAGGGAAATATGATTTTTAATGCAGAAAACCCATTTGAAAAAAACTTTTTTCCAAAAAAAGGAATTTAGATGTCTACAAACAAAAAAGTTAAAAAATTTAAAACACCAACTGCAACTTGAAACCCAGTAAAAAATAAAAGCACTAAAGCAAGAAAAGGATCATCAGGAAAATTAAAATTAAATGTAAGATCCTTTAACCCCCATATGAGAATGAATCAATTTATGTGACTCCACAGCAAACCTTTAAAACCCCAAATCCCCTTGCTATGAATTTCATCAGGCAGGTGAGGGTTTTAAACACTCCCTTAATGAAACACTTGAAGCTTCAAATTACATAATTTTCCCAGGTGATCCCCGACCATCGGGAAATTCCCCCAATTAGAAAGCAGTCAATCTTTTACAGGGTGACAGTAGCTTACTCCCAAAATAAAAACTAAACAGATGCTTTTTTAACCTGGAACAGATGAAAAAAAAACTGTGTGCACTAAAAAACCCCAATGTGAAACTCTGAAAAAACCAAGCCCCAAAGTGTCCCTGAAAAAACTCAAATGAGCGGACTTGCTGGGAAAAGAACTTGCATCAATTAAAGAAAAAAAATTTGTTTTGGGAATGGAAATTGAAAATCTCAAAAAAAAAACCCGTACGTTTTTAGAAAAACTTTTTTCCGAAAGTTCTTTCCCTGTTAATAAAGAAATGGCAAGGATAAAGTAATACGAAGGAAAAGGAAAGCTTTTGTTTAAAATTTATTTGGGAAAAAATTAAATTGTAAGCAAAGGGGAATATTAAGCAAGACATTGCCTTTGTAGAAGAAAAGGATGGTGGGGGAGAAAACAGTTGTAAACTAAAGGAGCAGAGAGTTGTTGATACAACTGAAGATGAAGCTTTATATCAAAGAGAGGAAATGGCAAAAATGCAACAAAAATTAAGAGAGAGTGATAATGTGATTGCATCTCTTCAGAGTGAAAGGAAAAAATGTATTAATACTTTAGATGATTTGCAGGATAAACTTCCAAGAAAAACCAAAGAACTTGATGAAGCAAGAGAAACTGTTGCATCTTCCAAATCTAATGTTGATCCACTTAAGCATTTAATTAAAGAATTTGATAATGCTCAAATTACCATTGCTTCTCTTAAAGAACAACAGAATAATGAAATTAAGATTGCTGTAATGGAAGATAAAAGTATTCAGACAGCTGGTGAACTCTCAGATACAAGAAAAGTGAACACACACATGGAGATACAAGCTGATGTTAATTTTTTGGCATTTAAACATAGCGAACAGTTAAAGACAGATTGTAAGCAGGAACAGCTCTTATCTGAAAGTATGCAAGAAAAGGAAAAGGAACTTGAAAAGGCTAAATGTCAACTTAAAATACTTCAGCAGGAAAAGGAGCAGCAGCTTCATGATTTTGAAAAGCGGGTAGCCAATGTGATTGCAGACAAAGATAATGAATTAGAAATTATGATAACAAATTTCATGGATAAGGAAGAAGCCTTTGAAAATAGAGAGAGAGAGCTACAAAAAATACTCGTTGAGACAGAAAATGTTAAAATGATGTTGCATAGTAAGGACTTGGAAATTCAGAATATGAGCAAGGTATGTGAAGATCTACAAAATAGGGTAAAGGATTTAGAATTGGATCTAATCATAAAAGGTGAAGAGCATTTATCTGTGAAGGAAAATTATTCCAAACTTGAAAAGGATTATGAAATGCTGAAAATATTTTGGGACAACAAAATTTTAGAATTGAAAAATGGTAAAGCCAGGCATGAGGAACAGCTAAAAAGCAAAACACACGATATGGAAACTTTATCTACATCTTGCAAAGAAAAACAGAAATTACTGTCAGATGCAAGAGAGAAGGAACATTTAAGAGACACTACTCATGAGAATGAATTACATAAATCAGCTGACCATGTTTTAAGAAGAATAGACACAAATGCCCTAGCTGAAGTTTCAAAACAGGCCATTATCGATAAAAAACTGGATGAATTAGAGCACCTGAAAGATGAAAATGCCCTTAAAACCAAAGAATGTGATCATATGAGAAACACAATTGATAACCTAAAGATCATGGTATCAAAAAAAGATGATTCAATAAAACTTATGTCTTCAAGCCATGATAAAGAGTTATCTTCTTATTCTGAAACTCTAAATAAGAAGAATGAAGTAATATATGATCTTGAGAATATGGTAAGAATGAAAGGTGAGGAGGCTATTAGCCTGAGATCAGCACTTGAAGCCAAGGATCATAAGTTGAAACGGCTTGAGTGTGATTTAAAAGCAGTACAACAAATTCTGGACAGTAATGAGAGAAACTATCAGGAATTCATATCTGGTAACGAAATTCAGATATCAAGCAAAATTCAGGAACTTAATGATGTGATAAAACTTTTAAACAAAGCTTTATAAGAAGTATTGATGATAGAAAAAATATGGGGGGGTCATCAATTTTCACAAAGAAAGGCACAAAACAAACCCAGAGAGTGTGTATCTAAATTAAATTAAAAAAATTTAAAGATTTTTCACGAAAGCCCATTAAGGATCTTAAGCGAAGGTGCGAAATGTTGAAAACAAGAACAATAAAATTGCGAAATTAGAACACAGAAGCTTAAAGAAGACATTGCCATTTCAGTCTAGAGAGGATTTTGAGTGTAAAGAATCTAGAAATCAGGAAAGTTAGTGGGTTTACTAAAAAAATATGAAACTGAATATCAGAAAAATAAACAATTGGTTAAACTGAAAACCGAGGGGGAGTAAAAAACTCCCAAGTCAGAGTTTTTAGAAGATTCTCAAAAAAATTTTTCAAAAAGGGTTTAATAAAAGAGGTACCCCAAATTGTAAAACAGGGAAAGATGCAGACAAAATGCATAACTTGGAAGAAGAGTTGCTTAAAAGCAAAAGAAAAACAGTGAGTTACGAAACTCCAGATAAATTGTTTCTGCCGAGAATGAACTAGAGGGGATTCAGGGCCCGCTCTTTCTAAGTTAAAGACTAAGAAGAATTTTGGGGAAGTTTTTCTTTAGAAAAACAAGAATTGGTATGAAATTTCTACAAGAAAAAAAAATACAAAAATGTTAAAAAAGGGGCCTAGTGAAAAATTTAAATTTATTTCAAGAAAAAAAATGAGTTATGAAAAAAGGTATTATTGGCGATATTTTGAAGACGGGAAATTGAAAAAATTTAAACAGAGCTTGGCGATACGAAATTTCTCTAGTGTGTACAGAAAAGTCTTTGATTAAAATTTATGCTTTAAGGGAGAGAATAAAAGTTACGTTTGAACTTTCACATTTAAATCCAAGAAAAAGAAAGAATGCCAGATAGATTCAAAAGTGAAGAGAGAGAAATTAATAAGGGATATGAAAAAAATGAACAGAGATGTTGAAAAAGGGTGAACCAAATTTCAGAGACGACAAAAATAGAAGTGAAAATATAGAGAAAGAAGAACAGGTAAAGACTGTTGTTACTATAGAACGAAGTCATGAAGATCACGAGTTGGAACAACAATAAAATCTCTCTCAAAGGAGATAAAACAAAAGTGCTTTGAAAGGGGGAGTTGAAGAAATATGCCTCCCCTTTAAAAAAGGAAAAATCAAAAAAAAAGGAAGACTCGAGTGAGATTGATATTGTGCCAAATAATCTGGATACTACCAAAGGCTTTATGGTAAATTTGCAGGATGCCCTAGAGTCAACGATGGCAAACAGAGTGAAGAAAATTTTTCATCGTCTTTGGATAGAAAAAAAGAAAGTGAAATTACTGGAAACCCAAGAGGCCTGCTGCTGCCCGGGGAACTTTTGAAAAGTTGAAAAGTCTGGAAGAAAATGTGCTCTTTAAAAGCAAAGCAAAAAGGGGGTGTCGAATTAGGTAAAAGATGGATAGTATGGTAATTCATTACAATAAAGAGAAAGCTTTCCAGGTTGAGATGTTTGATGAACTTCAACAAAAGTGCAAATTGTTAGAAACTGAATTGTCAGAAACAGAATTAAGATACGTGGAGGTTGTCCAAAGTTACAAAAGTTCTGTTAATCAAGTTAATATGAATAAAATACTTGAAGAAAAGAAAGAACTTCAAAGTAGCATCGTATCTCTAAAAGAAGAGTTATCAAATACAAACAAAGAATTAGCCAAGAAGGAGAGACTGTGTATGGAATTAAATGCAGAGATGGATGACATAGTGGATCATTATAAGATGAAAGCCAATAAAAATGTGTTTGATACATTGGCTACTCAAAAGTCTGAAAATGTAGAATTAAGACAACAAATTCAAAGATACAAAGAAAATGTAGATAATTTAGTGCAGAGCAAAGCAGTCTTGCAAGAAAAACTGAAAATAAGCACTGATACTGTTGGTTCTTTAATTGAGAGATTAGGTGAAAAAGATAAACTCAGCCCTGTTTATCAAGAAAAAGATGCACTAGAAAACAAATTAGCAGAGAATAAGAGTGAAATGGAGGCTGTTATCCAGTCTGCAAGCAATGAAAATGTAGCCTTTAAGAAAACTGACATACTTACGCAAAAGGTAAAAATGTTGGAAGATGAACTAGAAACAGCCAGAATAAGCTTCAAGGATCTTTCAGAGAAACATGATGATATGAAAAAGGAATACACTGCATTACATAATGAGTGTAAGGAACTTAGAGCATGCATGGCAAAGAAAGAAATATTGCTTGAACAGAACAAGGATAATGAAAAACTCAGGGAAGCCAATACATTGATGAGCTGTTCGTCTTCTGATACTTCTGGTTTGAATCTTAGTAAAAGAAGTAAAAAATCAAAGACATTTGATCTTGAAATGGAGAGGGATAATCTTAGAGAATTATATATACAGCTTGCTAATAAAAATGAAATATTAGAATCTACTATTGATTCACTTAGAAGGTCTCAGGGTGCAGTGTCAACTGTTGAGGAGTTCCAGCGTGAGCTAACATGGATGAGGGAAAAGATGGAAGCTTCAGAGAAACAACGCGACTTACTCAGTTCAAATTACAATATTCTAGAAAAGGACTTTGAAGCACTAAGGAAGGAAGTTGAATGTCTCCGAGAAAACAAGAAGCAGCTCGACGCAATTACCAAAGTTGAAGAAACCGAGCAATATCAAAGGTAAGCATATATGCAAAATGTATAATTTAGTGAATTTCTATTTCTCACTTTTAATACTGGTTATTTCCATCATTCAGTATGTTGGTAGATATACAGCAACATCACAACTCAAATGATCCTCCAAGTGTGACATCCCTACTCATCCTTCAGAGCATAGGCACTGCCCCTCCCACCCAGCCACTCATCCTTCAGTGTAGGCACTGCCCTTCCCACCCAGCCACTCATCCTTCAGAGCGTAGGCACTGCCCCTCCATCCTTCAGGACTCAAATTCAGCTAACCAGTTTTTCCTTACTCCCATCATAAATGTTGCCTTGCTTACCCTCCAGCATGTCAGTCTATGAAAACCACTTTGTTCCGCTTATTCTGGTCTAATAATCACACATGATCCTGATGGATGTTCGAGATCCCTAGCACTCAAAACCTCCTTCACCCTCCCTCCAGTCCTTCATGGGGACAACCCTATTACCCCTTCCTTCCACCCCTAATTTACACACCCTCTTGGTCATCGCACCTGTTCTATCCTCTAACTGCACTAGCCTCCTCAACCTCTCCTGTGCTCTCTGAATTTAACCTTTAGTAAATTCTCACAGATTTCTATTTCCTATGCTCTGAATTTACTGCATAATCACACCACACAGTCCTCAAAATGAATTTAGAGCTATCTTTTCGCTGCAGTCTTTAAAGCCTGTGCCTCGCACCCATAAAAATGTTGGTTCCATTATATTCAGGGGAGTTAGTGGATGGGGAGATGGAGGTATTGGGTAGATGGCGAGAATATTTTGAGGAACTTTTAAATGTCGACAAAGAAAGTGAGGCGGTAATTGCATGCACTGGCAAGGGAGGTATACCATCTTGTAGGAGTGAAGAAGAGCAGAATGCGAGTGTGGGGAAGGTGCGTGAGGCATTATGTAGAATGAAAGGGGGTAAAGTAGCTGGAACTAACAGGATCATTACAGAGATGTTAAAAGCAGGGGGAGATATAGTGTTGGAGTGGTTGGTATTTTTATATAATGTATGAAAGAGGGGAAGGTACCTAGGGATTGGCAGAGAGCATGTATAGTCCCTTTATATAAAGGGAAGGGGGACAGAAGAGATTGTAAAAATTAGAGGAATAAGTATCCTGAGTATACCAGGGAAAGTGCACGGTTGGGTAATTATTGAAAGAATTAGAGGTAAGGCACAATCTAGGATTGCGGATGAGCAAGGTTTTAGAGTGGGTAGGGGATGTGTAGATCATGTTTAGATTGAAGCATATATGTGAACAGTATTTAGATGAAGGTAGGGAAGTTTTTATTGCATTTATTGATTTAGAAAAGGCATATGATAGTGGATAGGGAACCAATGTGGCAGATGTTACAAGTATATGGAATAGGTGGTAAGTTACTAAATGCTGTAAAGAGTTTTTGAGGATAATGAGCCTCAGGTTAGGGTGTGGAGAAGAGAGGGAGACGATTTCCCGGTAAAAGTAGGCCTTAGACAGGGATGTGTAATGTCACCATGGTTGTTTAATGTATTTATAGATGGGGTTGTAAGATAAGTAAATGCTAGCGTGTTCAGGAGAGGGGTGGGATTAAATTATGGGGAATCAAATACAAAATGGGAATTGACAGTTACTTTTTGCTGATGGTACTGTGCTTATGGGCGATTCTAAAGAAAAATTGCAAAGGTTAGTGGACGAGTTTGAGTGTGTGTGTAAAGGTAGAAGGTTGAAAGTGAACATAGAAAAGAGTAAGGTGCTGGGGGTATCAAATGATTTAGATAAAGAAAAATTGGGTATCAAATGGGGAGTAGTAGTATGGAAGAAGTTAATGTTTTCACATATTTGGGAGTTGACGTGTCAGCGGATGGATTTATGAAGGATGAGGTTAATCATAGAATTGAAGGAAAAAAGGTGAGTGGTGCGTTGAGATATGTGGAGACAAAAAATGTTATCTATGGAGGCAAAGAAGGGAATGTATGAAAGTATAGTAGTACCAACACACTTATATGGTTGTGAAGCTTGGTTTGTAAATGCTGCAGGAGGCAGTGGAGACGTCCTGTCGAAGGGCAATGTTTGGTGTGAATATTATGCATAAAATTCGGAGTGTGGAAATTAGGAGAAGGTGTGGAGTTAATAAAAGTATTAATCAGAGCACTGAAGAGGGTTTGTTGAGGTGGTGTGGTCATTTAAAGAGAATGGTTCAAAGTAGAATGACATGGAGAGCGTATAAATGTGTAGGGGAAGGAAGACGTGGTAGGGGTCGTCTTCGAAAAGGTTGGAGGGGGTAAAAGAGATTTTGTGGGCGAGGGGCTTTGACGACCAGCAAGCGTACATGAGCGTGTTGGGTAAGAGTGAATGGAGACGAATGGTATTTAGGACCTGACGAGCTGTTGGTGTGAGCATGTTAATATTTAGTGAAGGGATTCAGGGAAACCGGTTATTTTTATGTAGCTGGACTTGAGTCCTGGAAATGGGAAGTACAGTGCCTGCACTTTAACCCTTTCACTGTTTACGCCGTATATATACGTCTTACGCACCACTGTTTCTGACATATTTATACACATAAATTCTAGTGGCTTCAAATCAAGCAGGAGAAAGCTGGTAGGCCCACATGTGAGAGAATGGCTCTCCATGGTCAGTGTGCACCATATGAAAAAAATAGGGGAGCCAGTGGTGCATTGTGGGAATGCCATTTCAGTTGTCCTTTTTCAGCATGCTTAGAGGTAAGAAATATGTGACTCCCCAGCAAATCTGGGACTCTTCTCTTCCCAAGTGATGCTCTAACACAGATGGAAGTGTTAGTGAAGATCAATTTCATGATTTCGAAGAGTTTGAGACCAAAAGCAATGGAGGAGGAGGAGGAAGAAGAGGAGGAGGAGGAGGAAGAAGAGGAGGAGGAGGAGGAGGAAGAAGAGGAGGAGGAGGAAGAAGAGGAGGAGGAGGAAGAAGAGGAGGAGGAGGAAGAAGAGGAGGAGGAAGAAGAGGAGGAGGAGGAGGAAGAAGAGGAGGAAGAAGAGGAGGAAGAAGAGGAGGAGGAAGAAGAGGAGGAGGAGGAAGAAGAGGAGGAGGAGGAAGAAGAGGAGGAGGAGGAAGAAGAAGAGGAGGAGGAGAAGAGAAGGAGGAGGTGAAGAGCAGGAGGAGAATGATGATGATGATGTAATAATAATGTTCCCTTGAAGCAAGAAAAAAAAAAAGTCCACCCCATGACAGTGACAAGATAAGGTGAGATAACGTCTGATAAAAGCTGACGTTTGATGAGCGTAAAGGAGGGTGCAAGGAAGGGGCAGCTGATAAGAAAAGATTAGAAGACTATTGCCCTCCCTTTGTTTTTGCTGGTACACAAACATTTGTCTGTCTGCTAAGCTCCCTGTCTATCCGTCTAGCTCTCTGTCTCAGAGAGAGCCACAAGACTGCGTCATCATGTTTAATCACATCTTCAAGCAGAGTATAGCACTTTGTCTGGATTTTTTGGGTTATCCTAGGTAATTTACAATATGTATACAGTGGACCCCCGCATACCGTTGGCATCACATAACGTTTAATCCGCATACCGCTCGCTTTTATCGCAAAAATTTTGCCTCGCATACCGCTCAAAAACCAGCTCACCGCTGTTCGTCCGAGACGCGTCCAATGTGCGCCCTTAGCCAGCCTCACATGTGCCGCCGGTGGCATTGTTTACCAGCCAGCCTCCGCGGTAACATCCAAGCATACAATCGGAACATTTCTTATTATTACAGTGTTTTTGGTGATTGTATCTGCAAAATAAGTGACCATGGGCCCCAAGAAAGCTTCTAGTGCCAACCCTACAGCAATAAGGGTGAGAATTACTATAGAGATGAAAAAGATCATTGATAAGTATGAAAGTGGAGTGCATGTCTCCGAGCTGGCCAGGTTGTATAATAAACCCCAATCAACCATCGCTACTATTGGTGGTACAGCTGCTGCTGCTGCTGTACCATCGTCAGCTGCTGCTGCTGTAGTACCATCTGCTGCTGCTGTAGCATTGTCTGCTGCTGCTGTAGCACTGTCAGCTGCTCCTGCTGTTGTACCACCGTCAGCTGCTGCTGCTGCTGCTGCTGTTGTAGTACCGTCTGCTGCTGCTGTAGTACCGTCTGCTGCTGCTGTAGTACCGTCTGCTGCTGCTGTAGCATCGTCTGCTGCTGCTGTAGCACTGTCAGCTACTGCTGCTGCTGCTGTAGCACTGTCAGCTGCTGCTACTGCTGCTGTAGCACCGTTGTTGGTGTGGCTTATTGAGAATACCAAGAAAACAATTAACCCAGAGGATTTGCCACCCAGGATAAACCCAAAAAAGTCAGTGTCATCAAGACTGTT